CAATATAAAAGCTAGTTACCTCTAAACACAGACATATATATTTATATACGTATACAATGACCATCACTGTCACAGAAATATATAGGGTGATTACTGTTACTAGAATTGGACTTCTCATTTATTTCTGTATGTGAGTTAAGCTGTGGAAGATTTTTAAGTCAGGATATAAAGAAATTTGATGCAATTATTTCCTTTCTACTATCCATAGATATTAATACATACATATTAACACATATCCAATACTGTGTTTTCTGTTGTGGAAAGATGTACTAGATTCTCAATTACATTAAAATGTCTGGAATTTGTAGGGCTAGGAGAGCAAGTCAAAAGCCTATTATACCATCCAAAAAGCTACTGTGAACCTCCGAAATTGAAAACAGTGCTACTCAAAACAGAGAGGGAGAGGAAAAGCTGATAGGTTTGACACCTTTTCTTGACCGAAATAAATATGTGAGGCGTTACGTGGCAGTTGGCCGGCGTGCACGGGTGGTAGACAGACCAAGTTCCTGCTTTCCAGGAGCAGCCAGACAGAACTGACTTTGCAAAGGGGATATTTCTGGCTCTTGCACTATGCACCTTGCCCAGAAAAGCTCTGACAGCTTCATCCACCTGCTACGTACAAAACTGCTCTAGTTTTTCCCAGTAAGTGCTACAAATCCTTGAGCAATTTTGGACTTCCGAGACATGACAAGAAGCCATTTCCATACCAAAGGAATAAGACATCTCCCAGAAGAATACACACTGTTTGAGTAGAAAGCGGGGATGACTCTGCCCTTGGTTGTTTCCTATTTGTCGGCCCTTTGCGGACCAGCTGTTTAGTACCCTCAGCTGGAGGCGGGGGAGTAGAAGCACCCCCCAGCCCGGGGGGGTCTCTGAGATACGCCGCACGCGCCGCGCCGGGCGCGTGTCACCAAGCGCAGCCTGACGCAGCGGGTACGCCGAAGACAGGCTAGCAAGTCTTTGCAGTAGGTAGGTTTTGAATGTTTGTAGATTGGGGGTAGCGAAGCCTTCAGTAGCAAAAATTTTTTTTTTTTGTCTTTGGGTATCGTGAGCTTGCAGTCTGCCAGAAATAGCTTAGTTTGCTTTCGCTCAAAATGCCATGCAATCGTCTTGTTTCTTTCTTTTTTAACGTGGAAATCGAGTATCACTAGAAACCCTTAGTGTAGGAAAGAGTAACCTGTGAGGGTCTAAGCAACAGGAAACAAGCACCTTGATGGAACCCGTATTTGTGTTGGCCAGTCATCTGGCAAGCGGTCCTGAAATAGCGCTCTGGCATCTCACCTGAACCAACGCTGACTCGAGGGGGTAAGAGTTACGCAGTCATGCCAAAAAGCCGTGTGGAAAGAAGAAAGATCCTACAAGACTATTTCCAATATAGGAAAGACTTCAACTACGTATCAAAATAAAAAAAAACTTTTGAAAGATGGAATTCAGTTGACCTAACTTTGCAGTATTATTTTACAGTTGAGGATATTATAATAATAATGCACAATTTGAGAAGAAAATCTGAATGTTGTTAGAAATGAAAAATATATAAAGCATAACTGACATTTCAAAGGCATGAAGCAGAATTGGGCGCTCATTTATTCCAGTGCAGACTTTGGATGAGAACTCAAAGAAGTAATGAGTTTGGCTTGCTCTCTTGATAACTTTTATCTTGCTCTTGCTTGATAACTCTTCTGCAAGTGTTGCTGTGAGCAAAGTGTACCCCAACAGAATCTAGTTTCATCTGCAAGCATATATGTTAAATGCATTGGAAACACGTGTGCTTATTTCAAGTGTCTGAAATGCACAGTTTGGGTTTTAGTCAAGCTTGTAAGGTCTCACCCAGAAGATGCTGCAATTTCTGCATTATTTCAATGAAAAAAAGATAAAAGGGTTGACGATCCTGGAAAAAATGTTCACATGCGAAACCCTCTATTGAAAAGCTTTGAGGAGAGTTCAGAAAGCTTTAAGCAAATTGGGAATGAGTTCAGAAACTGTTTCCAAACCATTTCACTCTGGAACACTTGATGGCATTTTTATTAGGTAAGCTGTCAGTTTAGTAAATAGGCTTCATTCAGACAAAAAATAGCATATTCATTTTTTATTAGGAGAGATTATTTTCAATAACAAAGGATCTCGTTTGAAAAAATCTACCTCAAAAGCTCCCACATCATCAGCAGAACATTTAACAGAATATTTAATATTCAAAAAATACTAATTTTTATTTGGATTTTTATTAATGCAAAAAATCAGTCTTAGTATCAAAATGTTATAGAGTAAAAGTAGCTATATAACATGCAAGAAAGCCCTTGTGGCGTTCTGGCCAGGACAGAACTCAAACCTACAGGACCTAGTGAGGGCCGGGCAAGACACCTTCTTGTCCTCTGCTCTGCTGTCCTCCTTTGGCCACTCCGAGAAGCATGGTGGTGTGTTAAACTAGAGCCCAGGACATGCGGATCGATGTCGGCATAGGGTATCAATACGAAAAATAATTGGAGACGATGGTTATGCAATAGCTGAAGTGATGCGATCTTTATCAGTTAGCCACCAGACAGGGAATGAAGCACTCCTGTCTCTGCTCCCTACCTTGGCCGGCATCTGGGCAGTGCAGCTGTGGCAAGTGGTTTTTAAAGGCAGTTACAGAGTCTGGTCCTACTGGTTAAAACACTTGTGGGAAAACTGAAACACCTCAAACAAAATCTATAATTTCTTTTGGGAGAGGAAAAAGGGGGAGACTTCTGGCATTTGCACTTGACTATTTTGAATATTAAAGAGGATGAGAATTGGAAATTTTCCTGTTTTCCATTTTCCTAGAGGTAGGAAATGCTGTGTGCATTTGAAAACATGACAGTGGGAAAGTGTTTTCTTGATGACTGCCTCACCTAAATATCCCAAACTTCTCTTTTTTTTTTTTTTCTGTAGAAATGAGTACAACGTGCTGAGAAATTGTGTATAGATGCTGCATGTATAATTTGCTAAGGTACAATCTTAGGCAAGAATCAGATTCTGAAAATAGAGGCACTATGCAGAGACGTTTATTCTCCTGAGTTAATAAGGCTTCAAAGCCGGCTGGTTTTCCTGGCATCCCATGTGGATTTACTGGTTCAAGTAGTCAAGAAATCAGGTGAATGTGTGTGTTATCATTCACTGTACATGTGCCTCTCTTATTCAATAGGAAGAAATTTAGGTTTGCAGAACTGTGATAATTCTTTCAGTCCAAACTGGCAAATCATTCAATACAAGCATGAAATGGCATTCGTTATTTAACAAAACCATTTTTTATATTGTTTTTTTAAATCTGTTGACCTCCTCCTCACTTTTTCTAGTAGTGAATTGCTCTATGAAACTAAAAATTCCTCGCTGAACTGTTAAACAGAGACTATATGGCAAATAGTAACCAGCCAGGTTTGTTTTCTCCTTTTCTCCATCGTTTTTGGGAACTTTGTATTCGTTAGAAATGCAGTATAAGTGATATGCAGAAAAGATGGTTCAAGCTTTCAAAACTGGTGTCTGAGGTCCTAACTTTCTTTTGCAGGGAAATTAGTTTGATTCGTTCCCTGTCTCTATTCCTCTGAAGAGTTTCAAGATGTCTTGCAGACAATTTGGTGGAAGCCAAATCCCTAAGGATAGTTACAAACTCTTCATGATCTGAAACTTATAACGAAAAGAGAGGCTCATCAATGCTATTTTTAAAATTTGAATATTTTTCTGGAATATATTGTATCAGAGTAAGAATAAGTAGTTATGTTTTGATTCGGGGTTTGGTTTTTTGCTAGTTTGGTGTTGGTTTTGGGGTTTTTTTTGTTTTGTTTTTTGTTTTTTGTTCTTTGTTCTTTTGTGGTGTGTGTGGGGGGGTTTAGCAAAGATGTATTTTCGAAACACTCATAAATCTTATGTTACTTCCATGAATTTCAGTGGACTTTGAATTAGACCCTGGAAGATGAATGCTTTTTAAACATATAATTCTGCAGAACTAAGAATAACAAGGTGGTCATCGCAATCATCTCATGGCTATCAGCAAGTTTTGGTGCATCCAGCTGTTTTATTTACTTTATGTCTCAGCAGAGTATGCAGTTGTGGTGTTCAGGAAATGATATATGTATCAGGATATCCAGTTAATTTAGTAATACATTTTCCAGATTTTACGGATTATTTCTTTTGGAAATAATTCCTTGTCACCTAATGCCATGGTCTAGTATTTAAGGCTGCAAAATTGTGATGTTATCAAACTAAATTAAAAAATACTGAGGTATAAATACAGTGCAAGCTCTGTATTTATAAAAAAAACTCTGCATATTCTTCCTGTTCATGTCCCTCTGAATCCTAAAAGTTGCAGGAAATATGGAAAAACATACCTAAAATGACCAATATTTCAGTGGAAAGAAATTCACTGCTCATCTGAAGTGACAGCCTGGATTGTAGAGTAAATGCCCCATATAGCAGTCTATTTTGGCTGTGAGGAGGCAAGTGAAAGGCATGAAATGGAGCACATTTTGCCAGCTCGCAATGACGTGAGGTCCCAGCAGGGAGACTGTAGACATCTGAAGTAAGCTAAAGCAGGTCATAAACGGCTTCAGCTCAGGGCCTAAATCTTTCCCAGAATCCACAAGAGTCAGAGAAATAAGAATTTTGAAAGTGCTTTTTTTCTTCCTTTATCCCCCCATCCAAACGTTTGCACAGAAGAAAATGTAGTTTAATTTGTACTTTGCTTGGTGTTGCTTAACGTACCAAAAAACCATCATCGAGTCACTTTTGTGTGGTCAGTTTTCATGTAGGAAGTCTTGATTACTTATATCGATGTAATCCTTCATAAGGGAGTGATTTAATAAGAATTAATATTAAAACATTCCCATTACAAAATTTGCTACAAATGCAGTGTATACAGTAGTTAACAGCTGGCAATATCTGACCTCTTGGTTTCTTCTTGTTATCCTGATTTTTCAAAGGTGACTTCTCTGAAATATTATCTATAGTAACTGCTTATTTTACTTTCTTTTTTTACTTCCCATGCCCAGCGAAATGCTTCAGCAGAGAAAGAGAATCTTCACGTGGCCTCCAGAAAGGAAGAAAATCAGAGCATCCAGGAGTGCGATTCTCAAAACGTAAGCTTGGCTCACCTAGAAATCAGGCTCTCACCTAGACCGTATGAAAACATCAATGCCTTAGGCGATTATCAAGGTGACTGACTTTTCTTAGTCAAGCTGGAACATACATTTTTTAAGCCAGCTATATTCTGCATTAAAGTGCTGAGGAGCAAATGCTCTTTGCTGTCAATCTGTGCAGGTATACTCTCTGGGTTTCTTTAAAAGACGACTTAATAGAACTTGTAGGGCTGTTCTGGGAAGATGAGCGGTGGAAAAGCTGTGATTTGGTGTTTAACCATTTCAAGAACTGGCTTGTTGAAGAGCTGCTGCATTACAGCGAGATGCAGAACCTTGTTTAGATGTTGTTTCTGCTAATAATCAGGCACAGCTGTCACAGATGCTTCATTGGTTAAAACCAAACCTTCAGGGAGATGTAAGAGGTGACAGGGTAATAGTTAAACGCATGTCATCTCGTCCGCTGCCGGTCTAGGAAAGCCACAAGCTGTGTTCTTCTTACGACACATCTGACAGAAAGCTAAATCTGCTGCTTTTACTGAGGAAAACTCTCATTCAAACAGCATGGTGGGAGCTGTTAACAGAAACCCCAAATGCATGTATTATGGCTGCAATTATGACGATAAAAATAAAACAGGAAAAAACGGGAAGAATGAGAGGCAAAATTTGTTGAGAGGGTATTGTCTGCCCAATAATAAGTGTAGTGCTACCTTGACGACCTTGCAGACGAAATAGAGAAGACAGTAGGAGAAAGACGGTCACAACGGCTCGTGAATGAACTACTGAACACCTTGCCTTCCTCCAAATACGAGACTCCTACGGAGCTAACTGGGTAGCTTGCTGGTAGGGGTCATAGCAATGTGAAAAAAAATTTGGAAAATAAATCTTAGATAATTCAGTATCCAACAAATGGTAAAAAGCTGTCTATATTATCCATTTATTACAAATATGTTACTACTTTTATTAATTATCACTTACAAGTGGCTTCTCCTCTGCTGCATTCTCTAGAGGTGGGCAGAGATGAGGAGAAGGTTGCATAATTTGCTGTTGCACCTTTCTTAATGTGTAAAGATGAAGGAAATTTAATTTCTTTTTAATAACAATCAAAGAAAGAGAAGAAAGAGTAAGATGTAAAATTCTGAAGTCAGAGTGAACTCCATTTAGATTATGACCGATTGAGATTGGTTATCACCTGGGAAAGTGAGGGAAAGTTTGATGGAACGTAGGTTACTTTAGGTAGAGGCTGAATATATTTAGGCTGAATATTTGTGGAAAAACATTCAAGCAACTGGTTTTTTTTTTTACAGAATTGAATACATTAAAGCAGAGAGAAAAAAAAAACAACCCTGTTAAAGCATTTCACTAATCAAGAGAGTATTTAACTAATTTAATTTCTCCATCAAGCAATGCAATGAATGACATAAAAAAGATGCACTTTTCTGTAAAAGCATGGGTATAGCTATTTTGATTGGGGTGGTGGTAGCTTTGTGCCTGTAGCAACTAATATTTTTAGCCATTTAGTCAGCATGGTACACTGCTTGGTATGAAAAATTTGTCTGAGAAAGCAGAAAATGACTCCAACTGGAATTAGAGGTCTTGAGGCGTCGAACTATTTTTCATGATTCAAGTTAAATTAAAATCTAATCCTGCTCCCTGCCTTTGTCTAAGTATCATTATAATTCAGAGAAAAAGAAATTAGGCTATACATCTAAATTTGAGTAATAGGATTAAGTTTTATATCATTTAATCTCTCAATTATCATATATTAAGAGCAGTTCTATATTCTAGGGGACTCACATTTCCTTTAAAATTTAAATCTTTAAAGTTTGTTAAATCTGTATTTGACAAAACCTCATGTATGGAGGAAAAAGTAGTAAAGTTAGAGAAAGCATACCATAGGGCTGTTCAAATTTGCTGTGCCGTGCTGGATAAGGTTCCTTATTGGAAAATTAAGCAGGCAATCCTTTTATTGGTCTTAGCTTGCTTTTAAACGTGTTGCTAGAAATTCATTTTCCAACTGAAAATTGGGTATATTATGGAATACTCGTAGTTGCATTCTGTTCGCATTAAAAAAATCAATCTAAATTTCACACTAATACACAAAAAGGTGTTTATGAAATTTTGTTGTTCTGTGCTTGCAGTGTCTGTTAAAGGAATGGCTTTGAGGGCCAAATTACAGAAAAGGTAGTTAGGACAGCCACCCCTCCAAGCAAGGAAGCCATAAATAGTGTGGTATTTATCCCAGTTAGAAACAGAATCTCCAGTGTAATCAAGAACTTAAAGAAACACTTGTTCTCTTTACGTTAAGTGGGACTTTTAAGGTTTATATATATTTTTTTTAACATAAAAATTGTTCAGTTCACTTGTTTTTATTTTAAAAAAATGATTATACGAATTGGCTGATGTCATACACAATATACATACTATTTTAGAGAAATACTTTCAAATTGTGGCTGCACTCAAAGTACTGGATTTTCTTGCCAGAGGAGCATTAAATAAATCTTTTCTCTGGAGAATTTTCTCCATTCCTATGCTACTGTCTCCACAGTCACCCATGAAGTTTCATAAGAAATCTGTCCACACCAGTAGGATTTCGCACTTGAATTTTCAACAACGGCTCGTTTGGAGCTTGTCATGGGAGAATAAAACAGCCCAGTTTGTCAGAATTGCCTGATTTCACTTTAAATACAACACAAGCTTCAATTACAAAAATGTGAAATTTTTCTTGTAGAGCCAAGGATTGATTAAAGAAAGGCAGTAAAATTTTCGAAGAGAACTAAAGCATTAAAATATATTTTTCACAAACCATTTTAACTAGTTTACAAATCTGAGGACCTACCTTGACCACTTTTTGCCCTGTGGGTTGCTCAGTGGTGAGTAAAGTAATATTCCTGGTTGTTGTTTAGGATGAAACTTTTTTTTCCCTTTCTCTTACCCACACTGTCCAGCTGAACGTGGACTGCATGGGATGTAATAATACTGCAGATGATATTGGTCTAACAGCCTCTTCCTACCATTTATTATTATTTTTTACATCTTATGTTAACAGATATATTTTTTTTAGAGACAAGGAAGAATTCAGTGAATTAGTTTTGAGAAATGAAATAAGAATGTCTCTTTCCACAATTAACCCTCATGTGATGACTTTAGAGATACCACCTTAAATCCTGAAAGAACTAGAAGCAGTTTATTTTCCTAAAGGTTCATATTACTTCAATAGTACAAGGCTGTAATTTGTACCCGTGAATACTATCACGATGAGAAAATTCCAGACTTGGGAATATATTAGAGTTTTTCTCATAATTTTATCATTATTTGGTTGTGTCTGTTTTTAGCAGAAGTTTTTACAGCTGCTAAACTCCCAGCAAGGGAAGTATAGGCTGGATGACAGGTTCTCATGTGCCATTTGTTTAAGAATAATAAATGAAGATTGATGCCAAGATAAAAGACCAGGACCTTAATGAATATGCTTAAAACTTAAGTGTTGCTTAGGAACCTAATATTTCAGCAACACTTTTGCAGGTGACCTCCCTGACAAACAAATTGTGATTTATATATTGGAAGAATTACTGTAGTAAAGACTGACTAGAGAAGAACATGCAATTTTTCAGTTTTTAAGGCAATAGAGGGAAATTGCTAGTTGCTGGTCTCTATCAATATTTTTTAGTCACTGTGGCTAAGCATCCCTCCCTGTCTCTCTCTCAAATTTGTAATCCCACTGCAATTTTTTTCTTTATGGTTTTATGCATGTTTATATTAATTAATGTCATTTACATTGGAATGAATACAAATCAAATTTTGTTTACAAATGGGATACAGGCAGGCCAAATTTTATTAGCTGATTTTGAAATTAGATACTGCCGACACCTTTGTTGTCATGAAATTTGACATGGGACCTGTAGCAACCAGAAGTAGGCAGAATATCCTGTAATACATCATCTTGATTATTTCAAATCATCTGAAATTTGTCAAAGAGGGAAAAAAACTTAACTTCAGTTTTCTTTTTAAAGTTTCCATTGTTTAGATTATCATTATTTTATTAGAGGAATCTTGTCAGTACTATTTTTTCTGAGTCTTGTCCAGAGATGTTTTCCCTATGACTGGCCCCTGGAAGTCTCTGTGAACAACTGGAGTTCTACACAGCTCTCTTCCCTCTTCCCAAAAGCTTTTGGGAGCTTTTATGGCGTTTACATCAGAATGTACTTTGTCCCTTTTTCATATCAAATAATTCTTATGCCTGTAACATGTAATTTAAAACAACTTATTTGGTAGTGTTAAAACATCAAACAATTTATAAAGTGATTGTTTGTTCTCTGTTCCCATCTTAGATTTCTTGTTCTTTGTCCTTGTAGAGTCTTCTCTGATAAATAAAAGTGATAGTGCTTTTATTTACTGCCTTAATTTCCTGCAGTAAACAAACACTGCATGTTCATTAATCATTCAGTGACAAAGGACACTGGGTATTGGAGCTAAACGTGTACATGTTTCTAAGCAACCACAGCATTTTGCTTCATTTTTCTCTATCGGTTCCAATTGCAGAGCTTTGATCACATTGTACTCTCCCATTGCTTTCCCAAAGGAGTAATGAGAGAAAAAAGAAATCATCTTTATAACAAAACTTCGACTGATAAAATTCTTAAAGGGCATTTAATAATTCCGTTCCCTAAATGAGGACTATGAAAGTCATACGAATTTACATCGTCTTAGTTTAGCCATCCACTCAGTACGCTGTACCCTAAAATAGGAGAAGGATACAAAAAACTGCGTAGGTGTCTTATGAAAATGTATGTGCACGCTTCACATGCATCTTGCTCCGTATCGTTCTTCTAAGCAATGAGGGTCAGAGAGTGAAATACAGATCCGTAATAAATTAATCGGCAAAGCTGATAAAACATGTCCTTGAATAAACTGTGGACCTGACTTGGCTAATGACAACCAAGATATCGAGATTGTCAGTTGATCTAAACGTGCCGTCCTTTTCCCCCATACCTGGTTTAGTTTCT